TCAGTGCTTGAAACCCACGAGCTTCTCCACAGAAGGAAGATGGTCAACCTACTTTTGTAAAGATTTACAGCCTCAGAAACCCAATGGGAACCACTATGAGTTGATATCAACTCAGAGACAGTCAGTTTGGTTTAAGTTTCTGATATCTTCACTCACATATATTTAATAATAAATTCCTTGTTATGACTCCATCAGTGTGTCACCTGACAGATGATAGCTCTATTGATAAGTGAGTTTTATGAGGCCCTGGATTTACTCATAGTCACCCCTTTCTGTAAGTTGGCTATGCAAAAACATCTCTTATAAAACTTTTCACTGTACTTCAAATAAGACACATTCTTTGAAATTTGTAGGAAGGTATATTTTCACAATGTGCTTTAAGTGAGATATTTTAAAAATGTAAGGGTAATGAGTGTTTATATAATTTAAACCTTTCTCTGTATGACTGTAAATCTGTGGTGGAAAAGAGATTAGGCAGTGTTTTTATCTTAAATACATTCTCATCTAGAGGAATCTCTGCACTAAGAATTTAAACATCATCTATTCTTAATTTCTCTCTAAATTTCTAAGGGATTTAATGTTTGCAGCAGTGTTTATTTTTATCTTCTCTTTTGAACCAGAAAGATAATTATATTTGTGTTCTCCTACACAGTGTGGTGTTTATTTTTTATTTAACAATTTTTGTCTTCTTTTTCCTCCCTAAAATTTATATAGTGCCCATCTTCTAGTACATGTCTGGGCCCAGTATGTTGTTGTTATGTGCCGTCGAGTCGGACGCTACTCATAGCGACCCCTCCTTGGGTTTCTGAGGCAGTATCACTATGGAAGTAGATTGCCCCATCTTCCTTCTGAGGAGTGGCTGGTGGGTTTGAACCACCAGCCTTCTGATTAGCAGTCAAGTGCTTTAGGCACTACGCTACCAGAGCTCCTTAAATATTTTCTCAGTGAATAAGTATGTTGTATATCTTTGGATAAATTCTACAAAAAAGGGCCTGAGTTTGCAGTAATGTTGGATTTCTTTCATTTGAAGTTCAGTCTCTAACCTTGTATTGCATATGAAGGCAATTAGGTAGTATATAGCATTAGTCCTTGCTATAAACCAGACATTGTTCAAAGTGCCCTTTTTGTAACATCACATTTAATTCTCATAAAAATTTATTTACTAGCAGCTAGTATTATCTCCATTTTACTGATGTGGAAACTGAGGCATGGAGAGGTTAAGCAACTTTTCAAAAACTAAGGTTATCTAATAGTTAAGAGGTAATAATGGCTGGATTTGAATCCAAATGTCCTAGCCTCAGGATACATATTCTTAACTACAACATCAGTCTTTCAATTATACATGTTAATTTAGATATGGTTTTTCAAAAATGCAACAAACCATCATACAGATTCAAACAAACCAGATCTCTTACTGAATAATCTGATGGCATAAAATTGGAAAAGCTATATCTCATTTTCATTAAAACTTAATTTTTAAAAATAGAATCAATTTTATTATAATAATTATTTTCCTATGCAGTACTTAGATGTTCTGGGGGAAACCTTTGAATAAAAGTAGCAAATGTGGGAGACATTTTATTGATGTGACACATTTGCAAACCAATTCTTCAGGGCAAGCGTGCGTACAGTGTTTCCGTTACACTTGGGAAAGAGAGATGGGGTGAGAAGAGAGCACATAGCAGACAGGCTAAAAGAAGTGGGCTCAAGAAAACCATTTTCCAGAACCACGGACTATTCTAGATTTGCTTGAATTTGCATCTCTTCAATGAGCTAAAAACTGCTAACTTTTGCAATATCACCAGTTCAGTTTTTTATGCATCTTTTCTCATTACAGTGGAGAATTCCATCTTACAGGAAAGAAAAGGTAATGATGAATTCATTAGACAAAAATGTATCCCCACACCCCAGGGATGGAAAATTTGTCTTTAATTCTTTGAACTTTAATTCATTGTGGAATACGGATGAATAATTAGACACATGCTTAGATAAGTATTCTTACATACAACAGAATTATATTTAGATATACACTTAGATAATTACTCTCCTTTCTATTTCCCATTATTTTATCCCAAAATATCAAACATGAAAACATTCAATTACAGTGATTTTCTTTTCTGATTGACAAACCAAAATTCCAATCCAGATACCAAATATATTTATTGTTGAGTGTTTCCTTGGCAATAAAATATTGAAAAGTATCTTTTAATTCTTCTTCCAAGGTCATTTATTTCCCAAATGTCCCTGGCTTCTGACTCCAAGAAGCAGTTATTATTTCCACATCTGCAAGGAAGAATTTTTCTGTCAAATAAGCAAAAGAAAATTTTATACTTCTCCTTTCTCAGCAGCATAAGCATTGGGCTATACTTTTACTTGTTTTAGTCAAATATCATGTAGAAATATCAGTAACAAGAGCTGAAAGAGTAATTTCTTTTATAGAAAGAAAGACACAGTATGTTGTTGTTATGTGCTGTCGAGTCGGACCCTACTCATAGCGACCAGGCTATCAGTAAGTAAGGAACTCTAGTGGTGCAGTGCCTAAGGCACTTGATTGCTAACTAGAAGGTTGGTGGTTCTAAACCCACAAGCCACTCCCCATGGAAGGAAGATGGGACAATCTACATCTGTAAAGATTTACCGCCTTGGAAATCCAACGGAGGACACTATGAGTTGGAATTGACTCGATGGCAGTGGGCTTTTTGGCATATGCAGTAAGTTTGGTTTATGCAGTAAGGAGCTTAAAGGACATTTTATTTGACTATAGAATGACTCTCACAAAACAAGTCAGAAAGTCCAAAGGATTCCTGTGTGATTGGCTGTTATTAAGAGTTATAGGTTATAAGTGCTTCTGAATACATTTTATTAGTCTCAAGTTGGCTTGTTGTTTAGCAAACCAGGAGTCTCACACACCTGGCTATGACATTCTGTTCCTTTTCAATATATTGGTATCACTTTGTTGTACAAATATCATGGAGGAATGTGAGAGTAGCACTTTGTTGCAGACAGACTTGAGTTAAAATGTCTACTTCTTCACTTTCTGTGGGTGCAATAGCTATGGATGGTAACTTACTCTCCAGGGGTTTCATCATCTCCATCTAAATGGAGTCCTCATTAGGCTGTTAGAAGGATGTGCCTGCCTCTGCCGTGTTTGGTCAAGGGCTACAAATCTCTTGAGCCTCACCAATAAGTGGCTGGAGGCCCCCACTCCTCCAGCAAGCCTCCTGCCTGAAGGCACTGAGCGCTCCTGCTTCGTGGGTTGGCATGTCCACTGCAGCCACCTTGCTCTGTGGGCTGGGAAGCCCACTGCGCCAGGAAGTCCCCTACCCCATCTCACACCAGTTTCCTGGGTCTGGTGCTGCTATTTCTCTGCTGCTCCTTGTTGCTATCTATCTCTGGTGTTACCATTCTCTTGGTCCATTTGGGTCTAGGTGCTTCTCAGCATAGGGACCCCAGGTCCAAATGATACACTCCACTCCTGGCTCTTCTTTCTAGATGGTTGTGAGGATCCCCTCCCTCTGCTTCTGAGATTAGCTGCCTTTAACCCTACAGGATGAAAACTGACCAATCCCCTCATTAGAGTTCCATATACCTTATTTGCCTGGTCTCATCTCCTCAGTGGTCCCGTGCACTTTATTTGCTTTATTAGCAGGCTGCCCAATCTCCTCAGTGGGCCACAAATACCTTATTTGACTGGACACATTCAGTCATTTTGGAGGAATCACAAGATGGCTAGAAAAGCCATACTAAGTAATTCGTTGCACCGCACACAGCAGTCGCTCAGTGAATATGAACTTTGGTTCCCCCTCTGTATCCAAAAGTAAGCAATTAACATTTGAAAGTATTTATCCTGCTCCTCTAACTTCCATCACTGCCATTGTGTACAATTGACAATTATTGAGCTCACTGAATTATGACAGGAGAAATAATGTTAAAGTCCTTATTGCAAAGGTCATTAGTGTTTTAAAATAGCCTAAACTTGTTGGTTTTATTGTACTTTTAGTCTAGGGTACTCTGCATATGATATTCAACAAGTTAGAGGAAATGTAATGATTTTAATGAGATGTGATTTCGTAGATGATAGCTGTCCTTGAATAGAGATACTCCAGGAAAAAACAAAAAGGCTTCATGTGTAACAATAAGAAAATTATACCCCAAGTATTCTTTTATTTTCTTACTTTGTTAATTTCATTCATACATTTAAATAGTATCTAGCTTTTATGAGGTCTTTGCACTCCGGTCATTTCCCTTGTAGAACCAAACCTATAATAAGGACTAGACACAAAGCATCTGTGAATTGGTGCTTTCCACTGGGATGCAAATCTCTGGCAGAGCTGCACTGCTATATGTGACAGACTACACCTAAATTCTAAGATGGGAGATAACTTCTGATGGATGTGATTACACATGTTTGTGTCCCTTGATTTGCCAATGGCAGCTGAAGAGGGAGGGTGTTGATTCCAAACATCACTTCCTTGCATGGAGTTAGTGCACAATTTATGCTTGCACCTGGGGGCAAAATAGGTTAATAAGGCCAAGAAGGAGGGGAGGACGTGGGAGTGGGTAATAACTGGGAAGAGTTTCATAGAATCAACCTGGGGGGGGGAAAGGACGAGGGCCAAGGATTGAGGGTGTTCCCTCCTGCTTCTGCCTATGTCCCAAGTGGCAGGAGAAATTTTGAAAGCTGCTGTGAGGAGGAGCTAGTGATTGAGTTTTGGGGTGTTTTGTACCCCACCCTCCCCACTTGTAGGGAAACCTCTTTACAAGAGGTAATTGAATGGGAAGAAGAAAGACAACCTGAGAGTAGGAGGGAAGCAATTCTCAGGCTGGCCCTCCTCCTATCACTTGCCTCCTGACTCTTCTCCAAGCAAGCTCATCTGTTCCAAGGTGGCAGCAGAAGCCCCTGCACAAGCACCAGCTGTTGGGCATCTGCTTAGCTTCCCCGTGCATCTCAGGCTGCCCTATTATCCAGTCACCATCCCTGGCCATTGGTACCACTTCTGATGGCTGTGGACTCTGCTGCCCCAGGGAGCACCTTCTGTAAGCAGCTCCTTTTCTCTCTCCTGGTGAGTAACATCAAAAAGGATTAGGGAACTCGAGCGTGTTCCTACCCATGTCCTTCCTCTAGTTTAGGCTTGAAAGGAAGAGGGGTGGGGTGGATAGCAGAGAAAATAGACTGGGCAAATGAAAGTAGAGTTGAGAGAAATCCAGGGAGTCCTTGAGACTTGTGACCCTGGATGGGAGATATTTAGCATACTCATAAGGTGCCCCTGCCATAATGTTAATGGTTTTCTATTGAGGGAATTCCCTCTTTTTGCTGAGTGTTGTTATAAAGAGTAGCAAAATAACTCATTCCTCAGGCATCTCACCCAGAAGATTCTGAGGGTTCCGTTTGCTACTAGACATTAAATAGTCTCTGATTATTTAACACATGTAATTCCACTGAGCTGTGAGAAGAGGAAAAGGATTCTGGGTGAAGATGTGAATTATCCAGGACTTTCTTAATTTCACCTAGGAAGAGCCAAAAGAAGGGTGTGTTGTTGTTGTTGTTACGTGCCGTCCAGTCGGCCCCGACTCATAGCGACCCCTCCTTGGGTTTCCGAGGCAGTGTCACTACAGAAGTAGATTGCCCCATCTTCCTTCTGAGGAGTGGCTGGTGGGTTTGAACCGCCAGCCTTCTGGTTAGCAGTCAAGTGCCTTAGGCATCATGCTACCAGAGCTCCCAAAAGAAGGGTTGTTGTTGTTGTTGTTTGCCATCCAGTCGGCCCCGACTCATAGCGACCCCTCCCTGGGTTTCCGAGGCAGTATCACTACAGAAGTAGATTGCCCCATCTTCCTTCCGAGGAGTGGCTGGTGGGTTTGAACCGCCAGCCTTCTGGTTAGCAGTCAAGTGCCTTAGCCACTATGCTACCAGAGCTCCTTAAAAGAAGGGTAGAAAGCTTAATTCAAGCACATAGTTTAACTTGAGAAAAATAATTTTTAAAAAATGTGACAGTCATTAAACAAGCACAAACATTACTTGATTTCCACTTGGGCTTGTAGTAACTTTGTAACTGTGTACTAAAATGTGACTGTTTCCTTGGTTGGGGGAGGGGATGAAGGAAGTCGTACTATTTCTTCTTCCAATATCTTTGATCTGTGATTTTCCTTTTTGTTTGTTTGTTTTAGCAAAAGGTTTTAGCTTCAGATTATATATTCAGAATTTGAAGTTTTGCTGTATGGAGGATAAACACTTTCATCATATAAATAATACATAATGCAGGAATGATGATCAAGTTCTTATCTTATACCTGATTGGAGAAAAGAGAGCTCAGAGAGACCAATTAGCATTAGCTAGGTAAAATGGGTGAAAGCTCTCCAAGAATTCACTCACATTTGTTTTGCTTTTGGTCTCTGCCCTGTCCTTTATTCTTTGATTCATCCCATCCCCATCCATAATCTATCCATATAGTGGCTAAAAGATTGTCTGATCCCTGTTCCCTCCAAATCAATACTTAATGGAACCCTGGGATAGTGCTTAATGACTGGAAACTTCCACTGGCTCTGCCTGCAGAGGGAGGACCACCAAGATGGGGTTCAAGGCCAGGGGGCAAGAGATGAGTAATGAGGTGGGAGTGTGAGTGTGGATATACCCGTGAGAATAATGTCATATTGGAGCTCTGGTGGCATAATGGATCAGGCAATTGACTGCTAACTGGAAGGTCAGAAGTTCACATCTAACAGCTGCTCTGTGGAAGGAAGATGGGGTGATCTAAATCCGTAAAGATTTACAGCCTTGGAAGCCCAATGGTGGTCACTATTAGTCGGAAACGATTGAATGGCAGTGAGGTGTTTTTTTATACACATATTTATATGTGTATATAGTATTTGTCAGTGGCATACTGATTAAAGTATTCAGATGCTAAGCAAAAGTTCAGCGGTCCACCAGCTGTTTCTCAAGAGAAAGACAAAGTAGTCTATGCTTCTGTAAAGATTTACAACCTTGGAAACCCTATGGGTCAGTTCTACTCTGTCCTATAGGGTCGCCATGAGTCCATCAGAATCAACTCGGAGGCTTTTTTTTTTTTTTTCCAAACATGTATATGGTCTATATACATGTATGTATATGCATAATGCATATATATATATACAATGTTATACATATAAACATACACACTTCATATGTATGTATAATTCTTCTAATTACAAAATACCCTTTCCACTTTATATATTTAAACCATTGCTAATAGGATGCTTTTTGTTTAAGTTCTTTAGATATAATTTAGTGTATCCCTTGCCATTAGGAATGCATATATAAAAAAGTAAAATGAACCAAAATGTCTTCTATTTTTTAAAAAATGCTTATTTAAATTAAAACTGAATACAAATGTGACCTTTAAATTCAAATTTTTGTTGTTATCTGCCTAACCCTTTTTGTAAAATGACAAACTGTTTAGATCGATTCCTTCAGTACATCATCAATAGACTGAACTGAACTGGGCTGAGATGGAAAAGAAGAGCAAACCCTTAATATGGATGTTAATCTCTTCTTTTTCTTCCTCCCAAATGGTTCCATAACTGGAGATTTGTCCTTGTAGAAAAGTTGATGAGAAAATTGACCTCTTCATGGAAAATCTAGCTCAGCTCTACTTTATATTTAAATGATCAGAGCATAGTTATTTTGACAAAGAGAAAGCAAATAAATAGAAAATGCCAAGAAAAAGATGGAAAACGTTTTGCACTTATAGACACTTAAACTGACAGATTTTATTTTTCAGACAGAATCTCTTCTCCTTTATTGAACTTTTCAGCAACAGTTGGGTCCTAGAGTAGGCAAGTATATAGAGACCAAAGTTTACTAGTGATTACTAGGGATAGGGGGCAGGGAACTCATTGCTTAGGGAGCACCGAGCTACTGTCAATGGTGAAAAGATTTGAAAATGAGTAATGGTGATGGTTGAACAACTTGATAAACATGATTTCAATGAATTAATTATACATGTACAGAATGTTGAAATGTCAAATGCTTTGTTATATACATAGCTGCACAATAAAAAGGCAAGCAGGAGTAAAAAGAAAAAACTATTGAAATGTAGAGGAAATAATATTTTATGTGTGTGTGTGTGTGTATATATATATATATATATATATATATCTATGTTTTGGATTTTTTTTTTTTTTTAAGACTAATTTGAAATCTTTTGATTTAGGAGCTTACCCAAGCCAGTGTGAAGAGTGTTATTTTTTATGAGGTTAAAAGGAATCCTCAGATATTTTCTTAACCACATCAATTATATCCTCAAATAGTTTAGGGTTGTGAAAGTGATGATTTGATAATTAGTACAAATATATGATTATTGTATTCCAGAATCAAGTGCTTTTCTTCATGCTAAATATCAGAATGGCATTTGGGGATAGATTTTAAAATAATATCTGTTCTTAGAGATAATAACCTTTATATAAAGTCAATAGCTTGTGGCACACTTTCTTGAAATGATACAATATAATTTAGATACTAAGAATTATTGCTCACTTGAATTTTTTCATTGATACTAAATAATAATGATACCCTTAAAGCCACTTTCATTGCTGTTTCTTTTTAAAATGAATATGAAAAAATTGAAGGACTAAAATGTCATTTGTTTCAGAAATTGATATATTTTTATCAATAAGACAAAACAGTAATGTGAAAATATGACCAAATGTAACTCCTGATTTTTTCTTTCTTTGAGGTTCTTATATTATTTTGTGATGCTTGTAAGAAAATTTCTCTTCAAGTTCCTTCTCATCTTAAGGCTGAAACACTTGTAGGGAAAGGTAAGAAACTGTATTAAGAATATTATAGTTGTAATTTCCTATGCTTAGCTTAAGGCTATTTTTGTAGAGTTTAGGATAAAACCCACCTAGTAGCTTCCTGGACATATAATGAAAGACGGTCTACTTGTTTTGGGGAAGAAACAATTAAAGACCAAAGTTCAAAGTTAGTCGTATACTTCTCTTGCCAAAAAAAATTAGCAAATACCAGAGGGCTAAGTTACCTCAGCTTAGTTCAAACAAAACAAGGAACCAACAACAAAGGTATATTTTAATCCATATCCACTAACTGCTTCTGAATTTCCAAAGTGCAATTTCTTTATTTGGTTAAACATAAAACAGATGTCTCAACATTTTAATTGTTTTATTTATTTAAAATTCTCCAGGAGAAAAATTATATTTGAGGTTGATTATAATGACAAGTACCTGCCAACAATTTATATGTGATCCATTTCCTAGAATAACTTGGCATATTCAAATAAAATTTTGATAGGTCTGGCTATCACAGCCCCCCTTGACTTACAGGGTGCTTGTTCTTCTGAGTCTGAAGGTAACATTCCTTTCACTAAGGTGTACCACTGGTTTTCAGTTTACAGTTAGAAATATAGAAGTAGAAATATATAGTATAGAAATACACCTTTCCAAGATAGAAATGCTTGGCTGAGTGCTTTGCGATGTTACATCAATCTCTTATATCTTTTAAAAACATTTAAAAAATATCTAATAAATACTATAAAGATGTAGTAAATGCTGTAAATATGTTATATATGAATCTGAGAAGGAATTCTTTTCATAACAGCCACAATGTATATTAAGCATTGAGGTAATTAAACCTCATTAAAGGCATGATAGAATGATCACCTGCAATATTCCTGAGAAACATTACTAAAGAAGAGAGCAGTTTCCTTATTTGTTACTAGATAGTTATAACTATCAAAAGGATATTGCAAGTAAGTTCAAGATCTACTGACTACAAATGATATTAAAAAAGGAAATTTGCATATAGATATCAAATGATATTAAAAAAGGAAATTTGCATATAGATATATATGCACAAACTGTAAATAACATTTAAAGTAGAAACAGAATAATTGCAATGACACTAGAAAATATTTTATATATAGTCATAAATTAATTTATAACAAAAGCAATGAAAATACGACTCCATTAATTATTTTTCATGGCCGCTGCATTTTGCAACAGCTGTTCCTCAGCAGACTCCAGGCACAACCACTGTTTTCTGTTTCTCGTGCATTAACTCCCAGTTGTCATTCCTGCAAAACCTGTTCTATTCCTGTTTCATCTTACAAATTACTGTGAAATTTCTTCCCTGCAGTGAATCTGGAGGAGTGTCTTCAGTCTGCCAGCCACATTCTGTCCAGTGACCCTGACTTCAGAATTCTAGAAGATGGCTCCATTTACACAACAGATGACCTCATTTTGTCTTCTAAAAGGAAGAGCTTTTTCGTTTTACTCTCAGACACTCAGAGACAGGAACAGATAGAGATAGAACTTGTACTAGCAGCAAGGGAAAATAAGGTATAATGGGCAAAGGCGTAAGTACCTTAGCATATTAATCTGTTTAGGAAGTCCTTCATTTCACAGTTCCTTCCAGGTTACAATCAATGGTGTTGAATGCTCACTTAATTGTCTATTCCACTTATAATTACACACACACACTCTCACACACAAGATTATTTTAAGGAGTGGCAGCACAGTTTATAAAATTATATAAAAGTAAACAACTCTGTATCCAAGGAGCAAAGACTATCAAAGGTTTCAGATAATGTTTTGAGGTGTGGCAATGAGAACAACCAACTTGAAGAACAAGGTGGAAGGTCTAAAGCTCAGTGAAAATTGATTCAGACTGGGCATGTGGCAATCCACCCTGAATGGCTCTCTCCCAATTTCTATGGGTTGGGTCTAGCTCTGAGGAGAAGATATTGTCTCAGGCTTACTTGTATGTTAATTGAAACTTCTATGGGTTTCCTGCTTTAGGATTGGAAGTGTGGCCAGTCCACATCTAGTGAAGAGTGTAGATTGGTCCAGAGAATGAGGGGAGAAGGTTACTGAAATTCACATAAATCTCACTTTATGCACAGTCAGCACAGTGATTTCAATCTTATAAAATCTTTTATTAATAGGCAATTGAAGTTATAAGATTTCCTGGCAAAATTACTTTTAATTACAAGAAAACTTCTTCACTGAATTTAGAATATGACTAAGGCTTACAAAACATCATTTTATATCCAAATTGTTCAAAAATGTCCACATTACTTAATATAAAATAAACTTGAACAAATGCTGACCTGTGTCTTTATATAAAGGTATGCTTGTAAGTTTAGCTAATGTTCTCAGAAATTTTGACCATATCACTCCTCAAACCAAAAAAATAAACTCACTGCCATTGAATTGACTCCAACTCATAGCAACACCTATTTGGTTTTCAAGGTGGTAAATCTTTACAGAAGTAGATTTTCCCATCTTCCTTCACTGGAGTGGCTGATAGGTTTGAACCACCAACCTTCCAGTTAGTGGTCAAATGCCTTAGGCATTGCACCACCAGAATTCCTTCTACTACTCCTAAAACTCCAAACTCACTGCCATCAAGTAGATTCCAAGTCATAGTGACCCCCTTGGGCTTCTGAGGTGGTTAATCTTTATGGAAATATATTGCCCAGTCTTCCTTCCACAGAGTAGCTGGTGGGTTTGAACTGTTAACCTTCTGGTTAGCAGTCAGATACTCTAGGCACTACACCACCAGAGCTCCTAGTGGAGTAAAATTAATTCTTAAATATTTGTTAATGGATTATCTATTTTCAGGGAGTCTAAAGTTTCTCAAGATGGCATTTTTTTTTTTTTTAACCAATGGTCAATAAAGTTCTGGTTGAATAGATGGTTAAATCAAAAAATAGAGAGAACTAGGAATAGAATGTAGTCTGAGGTGTTGTATGCATATGTGTATGTGTGTGTTTACTTACTTATTACTAAACTATAGAAATCATTTGAGGATTATCCATAACATTGTTATGTTTACCTTTATTTGTTTTCTCCATGTCAATGAATAAGTGAAAGCCATAATTTTCAGAATGGTAAACAATGCTGTATTTCTTCATTCTGCATCAAATACAGGCTCATAAGAAGAGACGTGCCAAAGACACAAGCCTTACACGCAACAAGAGACGATGGGCTCCTATTCCATGTTCACTAATGGAAAACTCATTAGGTCCATTTCCACAACACATCCAACAGGTAAATATCAATTCATTTTATTTTTTATGTGATAGACTTTTTTTTGTTATTGAAACTTTTCCTTTTAAATGCCCAGGATATGAAATCAGGGCTTTAGCCTATTGGTACTAATAAGGAGTACCTTACTCACCTAACTGGAGTCACATAGGAGTGAGGCAGTATATTTTATCACTTTCTTTCATAAATCAAATTTAGACATTTAGAAATAGGTTTTATGCTTTGAGTTTCCGATGCCATTACTTCTGCCTATAAATTCTTCCACTCTGACAGACTTTTAGGTATAGAAGCCATCTAAAGATTTTGCATAATTCACCTCTTTATTAGGTTAGCATTTATTCTCCCAAAAGATGATGTGTATTTCTATTTAAATAATATTTCTATTTATTTAAAGCAGTGTGACTGCAACATAGCTGAAATATAAATGTAGGCTGACTTTGAAATTATGCATTCTTGAAAAATTGATTATGGGAGGGCAATTGCATTATTTCACAATTTTCAATTCCAAATAGTTCACAAGCACTGAAAGAACGCCAATAAGTAAGTAAACATTTTAAAGATACATTCAAATCCACAAATTTTCTACAAATGCATAGACAATTCAAAAAAAGAATTAGTGATCAAATCAATGACAGAGTCTGTGACTTTGCACATTGTAGAACATCATGACAGATGATGGATAGATAAGCAGAAAAGAAAAAATAAGTAAGAAAGAGAAAAATGATTCTTAAACAAAAAACAATCATAAGAATTCAGTTTAAAATATTTGTCATGATCATTGAGAAAGAAGGGCTGCCTATGTACAGGGAGACAGCTCAGGGGGCAGGAGTCCATGGAGGGATGGACAGTGGGAAGAGGTAACTATGGGGAGGAAGTGAGAGGGGAGCTATTGCATTGTGGTAAACTGGTCAATGTCATGAGACAAAGTATATGTGAACTGCTGTATGGAAAGTGAATTTGCTTTGTTAATCTTCACCCAAATCACAATTTAAAAAATAAATATATAAATAAATAAACATTTGTCATGGCATATTTACTATAATACTAAATTGTCACTTATTGTTCTAGATCCAGTCTGACACTGCACAGAATTATACCATCTTTTACTCCATAAGTGGACCAGGAGTGGACAAAGAGCCCTTCAATTTGTTCTACATAGACAGAGATACTGGGGATATGTTTTGTACACGAAGCATAGATCGTGAGCAATATCAACAGTTTTCGGTAAATTCATTGAATTTTTTCTTCAGAATTATGTTGTTATTAGTAGTTTAATTTTTTTCAGTGTCCTTGTTTGCATAAAAAGATAATCAAATATTTGATTTATTATCTTAAACATTACCAGCTCGTAACATAAACTTCAAATTTATATTGGTTTCATTGCTGAAGAATGATAGTGGACACTATAGGGGAAGAAAAGAGGGAAAATATTAATGAAAATTTTAAAGGATTTTAAATAATAACAGAATTTTAAATAACTGATTCTGAGCTACAAAATCCTGGGAAAACAACAGAGAATTTTGTTGAGTCCAAAATTCCCTACAATAAGATAGTTGATCATTTTCAGCCATGGCTCTGCATTATAAATCACCTAAGAACTTCTTGAAAATATTGATGCTTGGCCCCATGGCAAAAAAATCTGATTTAATTGTTCTAAGATGGAGCGCAGCACTCAGTTTTTCTTTTAAGTCTTCCGAGGTGATTTTAAGTCAAGTAGAAATAACACTGTTTTAGCTCCTTCCCCAGCTATCATGGAAGTTGCTGGAAGTGGGTGGTTAAGTGCTTCAGGCAGAGAGCACATTAATGTAAGATGCAATGATTTTTTAAAAAATCACCAACAAGAAAAAAAAAAACCTGATTGGAGTGTAGTTTGAAGCTAAAGAGGAGTATGAACTACAAGGTTAGAGAAGTAAGTAAAGACCAATGTGCACAAGATCTTATGAACTATAGCAAACAGAATGGGCACTAACCTAAGAATGCCCACCAAAGTACTCCATATGGTGATGAAACTTATGAAACAACATACATGTTCAACTTTAGTTTTATAATCAAATACAGTGGAGGGACTACAGTGACATATTTTCATTGTAATTTTATGTCCCTTCCAAAATTCTCTATAATAAACATTCATTACTCATAAGAACACCAAACTGTTACCTTAAAAGAAAATTAGCTTGCATGGGCTTTTACAGGAGAGACACACTAACCACCATTGTAATCATTTTCATCTTTTAATCAAGAAGCAAAATAGTGATAGAGTATATAGCTGTCTGCGGCTTTCACTGCTACTTCACCAGAAGAAAAGATCTAACACTAGCAGTCACTATTGTGATTGCTCTGTAGGTTGCCTATATTGTGTGTTGGGTGTACACTTCATTTCCCACCTTGCTGAGAGATCATTTGATAAGATCCTGTTTATGAATCTTTGAGGTTGTCAGCTACTTCTCACTGGTCATCCTGCTGCCATATTTGCTTCATATGGCAAAGGGAAAGAGAAGAGTTAAAAATTAAAAATAAGTTACTCCCTTTTCTCTCATTCTTTTAAATGATAAATGAATAAATTTTAAAAAATCTATGCTCAAATTAGGATTTTGAATCATTTTTCCTTCATCAAAAACAAAAACAAAAAACAAAAAACAAATCACTGCCATCAAGTCAGATCTGTCTCATAGTGACCCACCCCTCCTTGGGTTTCCGAGCAGTATCTCTATGGAAGTAGACTGCCCAATCTTCCTTCCGAGGAGTGACTGGTGGGTTTGAACTGCCAGCCTTCTGGTTAGCAATTCAAATGCTTTAGGAATTATGCCACCAGAGCTCCCATATATTTCTCTAGTCCCCATAAACATGGTTAAGTTTACATTGGCATTAAGAAATTCTACTTGCAAATTAGTAAAATTCATAAAAGTAAAACAACTAGATCTAAGTATGATGCAAATTACAAAATCACTCAAAGCAGTATGAAGTAGAAGTTTCATTGTCAAAGTAGAGGTGGAAATTAAAATAATGTCTTTGCTTTTCTATCAAATTAGTAGATCCTTAGTTTCTTCCTCTTTTTCTTTTAGTCTTGGACAACCTCCAAAAGGCTGTTTTCTTCTCTCTCTTATAGGCTGCTAAGCACTATCTTACCTATCTTAGGGATGTAGTAGTCATTGAATGCCATGGTGTTGGTGAAGTCACTATCTGTGCTATAAAACTCTTTAAAAATATTCTGATAGTAGATCAAACAATGTACAGACTCTAGAATTTTGTCCTAAAAACAAGGTTTTTGCTGGGATTTCCCCAAATTATTTTTTTCCATCTAGCATATATAAATGTTAAATATTAATAGTAGATCATTGTTATTGGACATAATTTTATCTCATAGATGAGTGAGAATAAAAGCTAGAGATCTAATTTAGTGCATATTCTATGTGCTTCTCTTATTTCCCTTGCTCCATGTTAAGTTGTCTTAGCTTATGAAGATTATCCTGAGTGAGTCACAACATTATTACAGTCTGGGGAGTTTGCATTAAACTATAAAATTATTTACTTTTTCAGAGATTTTCATAACTCTCTTTTTTTCCAAAATTTTCAATAACAGTTGTACAAGATTCCAATAATTCCAAGTTATTCTATGAAAGGGGGCAGTTTCAATTACCCTTTTTGAGTATTTGGTGAAAATTTGTTCCTTTTAGAAGCTGATACAGAAAAATGAATTAGATGGTTCTTTCTTACCTACCCATCCAGATCTTTATTCTCTTTTAGCATATAGTTTCTTTTCCTGACATCAAGTCTATCTATTGTTTTCATAGATGCCCTGCTCATTCCCACGCTGTACCTGCTCAGTCCTGGTGCCAGTGACATCCCCCATCTTCTTGCCCAGTCTACACCAAACACACTTCTCAAAATAAGACCAAACAAATTATAATTCATATTTGGCAACTGCTTGGATCTTCCCCAAGTGCCTGGTGTAGTGCTATCACAATTATTCTTGTTTATTAATTGCTATAGAGTTTAAGGAGACTTGGCAGCACAGAGGTTAAGCACTTGGCTGCTAACTGAAAGGTTGTCTGTTTGAATTCACCAGCTGCTGTGCAGTGGAAAGATGTGGCAGTCTGCTTCAGTAAAGATTCACAGCCTTCAAAACCCTGCAGGGCAGTTCTACTCTGTCCTACAGGGTTGCAATGAGTTGACATTGACTCAATAGAAATAAGTTTCGTTTTGGTAGGTAGATATTATTAAACAAATTTGAATGAATACTCACTCAGTGACAAGCACTATACATGTTTAGTTCTATCTATTAGCTAATACATCAGCTAATTGGTCAAACAAAATCTATTAAGTCATTCTAACATGGAACAGGATAATGTACTAGGTGAGTGATTTTATTGAGCTGTATCAGATTTCATATAAAGGGTTACAGAACAATTGTGAGAAAAGATATTAATTGCATGTGAGGTGTGTCTCTATGGATATACTGGGATTGGAGCTAAACTTTGAATAACAAGTACAATTTTGACAGACATCCATGAGAAGTGAAAGGATTCCAAGTAGGAGGAGCAACCTAAAAAAAAATGGTGTGTGAAATATATGTAATATATAAGCAATCGTTATGCCTATGTAACTGCTGAATAGGATGTGTGTGTTAGAGGTCAGAGAAGAGCTTAGTGGGAGAAAGAAGAAGGGCAATGCCATAGACATGAGTGCTAGAACAAGAAGATAGGATTTTCTTCACATAAGATAGGATTTTATATTCACATAAAAGCATTAGATGGGTCATTGAAGGTTTTATTAAGGAAGAGTGACTTAATAAGGTCTTCATTTTAGGAAGATAATGGGAAGTGGTATTTGTATGGGAGAAGGATCAGTCCTAAATGCAAGGAGATGAGACAGAAGGCTGTCTCAGTAGTTTCAGTGGAAAGACGGAAGAAGCAGTGGGGAAGGAGTGGAAGGCAGAAGTTAGAATTATTCCAGCACTAAACTGGATTTGTTATCTGATAAAATGTGGGAAGTGAAAAACATAAAACATGGCTTAGGCACTATAGGGAGACAGTTTAATGCAAATGTGATAAATTAGAAGAATGCATTACCAACGGTTCAATAGAATCTTTATGGAAATTTGAGAGCGAAGTGAAAATTTCTTTTCCTCCAGGTTAGCATGTGGACAGAATGTTGCCTTCTAACACAATGGTGAGCATTGTGTGTTACTTTGGTAAATGATGAGGAATCACTGAGGATTTAGGTTAGACAGTATCAGGATTGTTGTGCTTTATGAAGATGAAGAATTGAGTTATTAGAGGTCACTTTCAGTAGGTGCAGTTTGCCCTGCCAGTGAAGAAAATCTGTTTAATTGAACAATTATTTCGTGAGCACTTACTATACACAAATCACATAAGAAGAGCCCAAAAATAATTTGATGGGTTTTTAAAGGGGAAAGACTAAATCTTGGCATTTGGAGCCAACATACAACATTTTTAAAGGGAAGAATTTGACATGCAATTTGGAATATATATATGCTTTTTTATTAACTTTTTTATTAATAGCATACATGTTTATCACAGAAAAAAATGAGAACACTCAGGTAAGTAGAGCAAAAAAATTCCACAATTCAATTGCTCAGAGATAGTTACAGTATAGGAGCTCTGGTGGTGTAGTGCCTAAGGCACTTGACTGCTAACCAGAGGCTGGCGGTTCAATCCCACCAGCCACTCCTCGGAAGGAAGATTGAGCAATCTACTTCTGTAGTGATACTGCCTCAGAAACCCAAGGAGGAGTCACTGTGAGTCGGATCTGACTTGACAGCAGTGAATTTGAGTGAGTCACAATATATATGGATATGTATAAAATTGTAAAAAAGTAGAATAATATTTTTATGCACTTTTAATAAATACTTGTTACTAGTATAACTGGGAAACTCCATGTGCAATCTAACAAATAAAGCTTCATGCAATTAATGCAGGGAAGAGAATAGCTTCATTCAGCAGTAGTGCAGGGTACACGGTGGAAGAATAATGAGAAGTAATTCTGAAAGAAGATGGAAGGCATATGATGTGCCAGTGTGTTATCTTTCACCTGTGCAATTTCTTAGTTTCCTATACCTCTACGGAAGCTTTTTATAATGTCGCATCTTTCCTCAACTGTGCATGATTTGTCATTTAAGAACAAGTTCATGGAGCTATTTCTACCTTTCAGCTATATGGCTATGCAACAACCTCTGATGGTTATGCACCAGAGTATCCACTCCCCATCTCAATTGTAATCGAAGATGACAATGATAATGCCCCATATTTTGAAAACAAGTTGACTACCTTCAGTGTGCCTGAAAATTGTAGACCTGGTAAGTTCACGTTTTAGAGTATGACAAGATTATATTTGGGAGCTCTGGTAGCATAGTGCCTAAGGCACTTGACTGCTAACCAGAAGGCTGGCAGTTAAACCCACCAGCCACTCCTCTGAAGGAAGATGGGGCAATCTACTTCCGTAGTGATACTGCCTCGGAAACTCAAGGAGGGGTTGCTGTGAGTCGGGTCTGACTCGATGGCACATAATGACAACAACAACAACAAGATTATTTGAAACTTGAGTGTTATAATTTTTAAGTTTTTGATTTTATCATTACCTTTCATGCATTTTGTTATTTCTGGTATTTTCCCCTTTAGAAATTGATGTTAAAAGATGTCAGTATTAAAGTGCTCTGAGCAAATTTTCTTAAACTTAGGCATATTTATACCACAAAAATTCATATAGTTTTATCATTTATAATTATAAATGACTTTATAATCTAACAATATTTATTTGACTCATTTCCTTTTATAGTGAGTTTGTTGTTGAAGTTGGTGCTTGTTTTGCATGTGCATACTTAGAAATGCTGTAGTGTGGGACCATTGCTCAGTGGTTCCATTACGCAAGGCAGTTGTTTAGGATAAAAAAGACTAGCTAGAATTTCATAGACTATGACAAGGGGAGTTATGAATGAACCAAGAACTATTTTATCTTTCACAGAAATAAGAGGTGGTATTGTCTTGTTTTTTTTCTTCATGTATTTGTTTTTCAAATGATCATTACCTAAGAATGTGTGAAAGGAGCTCTGGTGGTGTAGTGGTTAAGGCATTTGGCTGCTAACCAGAAGGTCAGTGGTTTGAATCCAGCAGCTACTCTGTGGAAGAAAGATGAGGCAGTCTGCTTCCATAAAGATTTACAGCCTTAGAAACCCAATGAGGGTTGCTATGATTTGGAATCAACTTGATGGTAGTGATTTCAGTTTTTAGAAGGGCATGTGAGAAGTCAGGTTTAGGAAAAAAATCTTTCCATATAAAGGAGGAAAATACTCCAAAGGAGACTCAAAATCAATAAATGAAAGTTTATTATATGACGCCAAACAATATATTTACTTAATGTTGTTGTCCCCTCCTTGGGTTTCTGAGGCAGTATCACTATGGAAGTAGATTGCCCAACATTCCTTCCAAGGAGTGGCTGGTGGGTTTGAACCACCAGCCTTTTGGTTAGCAGTCAAATGCATTAGGAACTACACTACCAGAGCTCCCTTTTATTTAATAGACATTTGAAATTAAAGGGATTGATTGACTAGGCTATATATGTCTAGTGCCAATTTTTACTGAAGTGTTACATCAATGTTGCTTCTCTGAATTCCCTTTATTAAATGACTGATGGATGTTAACTTTCATTTTAGCCTAAGTCTATACCCACTGTATCATAATGGAGCAATTTTAGGGAAACATTAGATTTTTCTTCATTTAAATTCCCCATTAGTGTTTTTAACACAATTATGAAGAACATTTTTAAATGCTTGGCTTTTAAGGATATACTACATATCACTTTAAGCAGTCCCTGAGTAGTGCAAGTGGTCAAGGGCTGGACTACTAACTGAAAGGTTGGTGGTTCATATCTACCTAGAAGAACTTTGGAAATTAAATCTGGCAATATGCTTCCAAAAGGTCACAGACTCGGAAACGCTATATATATATACTCTGTGCACATGTGGTTACTGTGAGTTGGAATTCACTCCAATTAAGCCTCGTCATGTTTATTTTGTTATATGCACCTATGTTGTTGTTGTTATGTGCCGTCAAGTTGGACCCAACTCATAGTGACCCCACCTTGGGTTTCCAAGGCAGTATCATTACGGAAGTAGATTGTCCCATCTTCCTTCCGAGGAGTGGCTGGTGGGTTTAGACAACAACTAATACAAAGTCATTAAGTAGTTAGAGTCATATACAAAGAATCTGGAATGTGTGGCAGATGGATGATGTTTCAATTGACTTTATTTTTGCCATGTGCATATGTGTCACACAGCAGCAAATAATTTGAATCTTAATAAGGCATATTTAATATATTTTCAAGGACCAGAATTATATCATAGCCTAGACATGCTTATCTGATTTATAACAACATATAAATTGTTTACTTAGCATATCTTCCAAACAAATTGAAAAGAAATTTAAAACTGGTTTGATAATACATTCAGCCAAGATTGTGGTCTAACCATACCAAGGGTCATAACAACACTCTCTAGTTAATGTAAAGAAAAAATTGGCAAGAAATACCATTAATTCTTATGCCCTCTTCCATTCTCTTGCCATGCACATACATATGTATAATATTGCTCTCCCCACAAGAAGAGTTTAGCCAAAGCAACATTTCTAGTACTTTGATATCTGGATTATGAAGATTGTATAAGTGATACCCAGACTGGTGCATAGCAATGTTTGTGAAATAACAGTATCTATTACTTGCATGTATAAATAACACATTTATTAAAAATAAAAGCATAAAATCTTTGCTGTCATATGTAAATCTTTTCTATTCCTTTAATTAGCATGGTTAAGTTGAGTTATAGAAGAGACAAAGTTGTACAAAGAAGGACCCATCCAAAAATAGCCCATGAACTGGGATAGGAAGTAAACGGAAAAATTTGGGAACTAAGGTGAAAAAACAACAAAAACAAACCCTTCTCATACATATAAAGTACAATCAATCACCTAATTTAATTTCAAGTTAGGAGCAGGGAATAAAATGATGGAGGGACTAGGAGAAGTTGAGAGAGCATTTATATACTCATAAAGTTATTGCTGGGAGCTCTGGTAGCATAGTGGCTAAAGCACTTGACTGCTAACCAGA